TAACGCTTTCGATTTTAATACATGGTCAATACTTGTTCGAAACATGGACAATATTGTATGGCGTAGCAGTCGATAATGGTACATTCATGGTACGCCACCACGAGCGTGAGCGCCGACACAACGCAGCGGTTATTACTCTAGAATTTTCCTAAGTAGCGCGCACAGCATTTACCCAGGTTGTACCAACTGTAAGGTACCTGGGTAAACACTGAAGAAAACGATTGGATGCAGTGAGTTTCGACGCAGACTGGTTACGGTCATTTCCACTTTTGTCTAGGTCGTGCACACAGGAGTATCTCAGGTTTTAGACCTGGAATATACCTGTTCTGGTAATGTAAGTTCTCGAATGTAATTACCAAATCTGATCCCGTTCTTTATAATGATACCTTGGCGAAACCTGGCCCCTTAGCTGGACTGTACATGGGGAATCAGATTTCTGAGTATTTTTTCAATCTGGGAAACCTGGACGCTAAGGTTGTCCATAAAAATCCACTGAATTTATAACGTATTTTACTTTCAAGAAACTAAAATACGTTGTGCAGTGCAGGCGGTAATTATACTGACTTTTCATCAAAATTTGACCAATAATCTAGCTAAGCAAAAGCCTGTTTGGGCCAATGGAAAGTCCCTTTCAAAACAAAGCGATTGGTGGTCGAATTCCCGTAAAATCGACGTGTGAACGAGTTGAGCTTATGTGAATCATCATAAGCTGGTAAGTATGAGTGAGACTGTTTGACATGATCCCCTTTATCTGCTAAAACTATTCTTTTTCTTTCTTTCTAATTCCCCCCATTTTTACAGATTGCGCTGAATACGCTCAAAATGCACATTTTATCAACTCGGAGTGATCCACTGAGGCTCTCGATTAAATGTTAAGTGCTTGAGTTCAACCTTATACTGGGATTACCTTTATGTATGGACAGCCCTCAACGGATTGATTCCACGATACTGCGTAACTCGCTCGAATCTCTCTTGTTCAACATTCAGCTGACCTCAAAATGTAAGCTGAACGCTGGGCAAAAGTAGCATGTTAAATACATATTTTGGCACCGGGTTGTCTGTAGGTGATAGTTAAGGGCTATCGGTCTTTTGGTCGCGAACTCCT